ATATAATATAAGCTCTGGTGGACTTGGTTCTATGGTAGGTCTTAAAGGGTTAAACTATGAAAGAGCCCAAGATTAAACAACAAGTGGAACTGCAGCTCTGAACATGCACAGCTTTGTGCTCAGGTCCTGCTTCTAATCAGCTGTTGGAATAACAGCCTTTAATTATTTAAGGTCTTCGTTAGATGTGCTCCCCTCTGCAGTTAATTATTAATGCAGTGTGTAGTGCAGCCTCAGTGTTTCACACAGAGTTATGCTCTATTTGTGATGGCAGAATGGTGTCTTTTAAAAACAAAGTCATAAAAAGCCCCTCGTATACTTTTGCAGGAATAGATAATAGATGATAAACAGCTGCGCCTCCCGTCAGTGCTTCAGCCCCGTGACAGACTCGCAGCACATCCAGACCATCTGCTTCAGGCTGCAGCTTGCAGCAGATCGACAGAACAGAGCAAAGTTTACGCTATAAAAACTGCTTGGTTAGGTTTGTCTCAGAATAAAGTTTACCCCACAATTTACTAAATTCTCTTCTACAGCTTCTGACTTCTACATCGGTCAGGACAAGCTCGGGAGAGCGCCCTGTGGAACAGGAAGTCAAGAGTCTGGGATTATTTCTGTCAAAATAAACACAAATTGATGCTTGAATGGCTCCCACTACTAAAGTTTGTGTGAAACACTGAGGTTAGGTCTTATCACACACAAACACCCACAGAGGCTGAACGTCACAGCAGCCACAGGTTTAAACAAGGCTTCTGATCTGAGGGACAGTTTGATGTAACGACACAAAGCTACGCGTCAGCTGTTCTTCTGAGGAAGCAGCAGTGACAGTCTAACCTGCTGCATTTCTTCTTCTGCATGATTAATGTGCGCACTCCTCGGCGGTTTGGAGAATCCTGGCAGGGCGCTGTGAATCAACATTTCACTTTCTTTGTGTTTGTGATCTTCTTTCTTCTGTAATTACACCAAACAGTCACATTATTGCTCAGATAAAGAGCCTCTGCTGTTAGTGAGAAAACAACTTCTCCTTTTTCTATTTCTGGAGTTTCTCTCACTTGTTACAACTACAGCCGCAAGAGAGGAAGAAGATCAACACACAGTTCAGTTTTTAACCAAAGTCTGTCAGCATCTACGAGTTTGTTTGGTTTTTTGTGATAGTGGAGTTTTTCCATCAGTTATAAAGTCGTGTTTATCTGTCATTTTGGCATTAAAATAATAAAAACAAGGATTTTATTTCACAGAACTGCTAAAACACCGTCGCTTACACCGAGAAGAAAATAATCTAGAGTTTTAATGACACTTAAGTTCAAATGAAATGTTCAGCTTTGTCCTCTGACCCTACGTCTGCTCGGTCATGCAGACGGTTTTGCTCTTTCTCATTTCTGTCTTAAAGCTCTTTCATTTCCTAACATTCCTCATTTTCATTGATGGGTTTAATAATTTACATCAAACACTTTGATCTG